GACCCTGTGACGGGTAAGAGTTTGAGCACCGCCCTCCAAAGAGACTCAGACCCGCCGTGAGACCCCCAAATATGGGAGTTACGAAACCTTCCCAGGGATCTCAACTACCACCCTCTGCAATAAAACAAAAAAGGGGGAGATGTAGGAAGCCGCTGCTTGTGCTGATGTGCTATGGTAAAGGCACGCCAAAGTCATAGCCCATCCCAGGGCGTTTTGGCAGGCAACGAGTAAGCAGCCAATCAGAAATGAACACGCCCCTCTAAGGGTATATAAACAGTGCCTTTTCCAGGCCTGGGGTCTTCCTCTTTACATTGGAATAAAGGTTTGCTGCGGAAGAATCCTGGTGTGGTGCCGTGTCTTCCTTGCTGGCGAGGTGGGCGCGTCTCACACTAGATAAATCTCCAGCCCTGTTGCAGCAAAATATGGGGGCCTGTCTTTCATTTCTGGTCTCATTCCCATGGGCCCCCGTATATCTTCAGGCAATTTTCCACACTATCCACCAAACCCTGGGATACTTTCTGTCTGTAAACCAGATGGCATCTACAGCCTGGAAATTATATAGGTAATATACACTCTCCTTTCTTTCCTCGATATCCAATTACCCAGTCTCATACCCAGCCCTGAAGAAGATTATCCTTTTTGCCACAATTCCAGAGGCACCCCACAGTTTTTCTTGTTCAACTCCAGGTTCCTTCTCCTGGACTCTGATTCAGGTAGGACATTCACACTCTCCTTTCTGTTCTCTAATTCTTATTCCTTACCCTCATCCCCAGTGCTGTAGCAGACATCTTGCAGGAGCCTGTTCAAACTCCAGGGGAAATGCAGCTTTCCTCTTTTCTATGGACCACTTGAAGCCCCTCTGACCCCACCTTTGAGCCCATCTCCAATCCTGTCAAACTCCAATACATTGAAACACATTCAATCCAAGACTAACAATGCCACATCTAGCAGAAACTCATATGTTTTCTCTCTCAGGCAACCGAAAGCCACCACATGTTCCTGAGATCCAGATATCGTGAAAAATTCAAGGAATTTTATTATATTCAAGAAATATAACACCCAGCCAACATAGCCAAGACCAGATATCAATACTTAGAATCACAATCAGGCTAAACCCAGATACCTAAACACCAACACACAAATATAATCAAAACAACCTAAGACAATATGTGTATACCAGAAGCCAGCAACCATAGTATAGGTGGACTCAAGAAATTCAATATAGCTGAAGCACAAGATGAAAAATTCAACATTGCTATTATGAATATACTCAAAGCCTTAAAAAAGAAATGGACAAGTCCATTAATGAAATCTATGAAAATACAAATTTTGGAATGATATGAAGAAAACAGTTCAAGACATGAAAGGATAAATAGAATTACTAAAAAGAAAATTTTCCAAATTGAGATAAAATTGGAAATGAAAATTTTGCAATTAAAAAACTCAGTGGTAAGGCTCACCAACAGAATACAGGAGATGGAAGAGAGAATCTCAGACTCTGAAAATATGCTAGAAGAAGGGAATATTTTACCTGTCAAAATCTCTCCTCTGCTATGAGGTGGCCTAGACTCCTGGAGGGTGTTAGGGTGTTTCCTCTGCCCAATTACCCCTTGCAATCCGAGGCTGTCAGGACAGTTTTTCCTGGGATTATGAAAGCAGGTGAGTTATCCTTCCATCTTGCTTGGTTAGTATAGTATGTATGACTTTGGTGATAGGAGCAAGGTTGGAGGGGAGCCAACACAGAGTATGAGAGCAGAGTAGAGCTGGCCCTGCCATATTTCTGGATAGAGGTGGCATGGATCAGAAATGATTCTTTTGCCACCTGTGAAAGTTGAAGAACTGGCCCTGAGTTTTTGAGACCTGATGAGTTGGCCCTGTCCCTTGCCTGGCATTGCACTTTTGAGAGCAGGACCTGCACCTCATCTGGGCAGCAGAGTGGATCTGATTTTAGTGGAGGAGGCACAGGTAAGCTGGCAGTGGGAGAAGAGTATGGGAGAGTAGCCACTCATCTGGTGTGAGGTGACCAATAGGTATGAGCAGATACCTTTTCTAACTGCAGTAGCTGGTACAACTACCATGGGGTCATGAGAGCAGGAGACCTAGCCCTGCCACCTCATTCATTGTAGCACTTGAGAGAGTGGGCCTTGCACCTTACCTAGGCAATAGAGTAGAGCTGATCCTGATGGAAACACAACAGGTACATCAACCCTGAGTGTGGGAAAGCAGAAGAGATAGCTTAGCTCCTCACGGACTACAGCACTTGGAAGAGTTGGCCTAAATCCTAATAGGGTAACACAGTGGAGCTGGCTCTGGAGGCATGTGAGGGCATAAGGGTTCTTGTCCAAATGCCATGAAAGCCAAAATTTTAACTCTGTCTCTTGCAAATGGTGGCATTGGTTGCCCTAGCTAGAGCACTGCTGAATTATAACACCTGTGGTCCTGATAAGGGAGAGCTGGCAAGGTGATTAGCTCTGATATCACTCAGGCCCAGATCCAGGGCTCTGAACTTTTCCACCTCCAAATCTATATTATCTTCAAATCTTTGAGATTTGTGAAAAGGTCATATTTGCTGACCCAAAGCTGTAGGATCTCCGTGACACAGGAAAACAACACATAACCTAGAGGAGTCCTGAAAAGGATTCAGTACTGATGGTGTCACAGAAGCCAAAGATCTTGAACCACACCAATGACTCATTGCAATGAACACATGCAAGTTAATTTATGTGGACAGAGATATACTGTGAACCACACTGTGGCATATTGCAGCTACTATGATGAAATGCATTGTAAGCATTCTTGTTGTTTGCTTCTTTGTATATTTTATTTTGGGGGAATTGCAAGAGCAAAGGACATTTATAAGGGGACAGATGAGGTGAGAATTTCTAGTTTTGTTGGAGACACAATTGAATTATGTGATGTTTTGCTGGAAGCTGTCTGATTTAAGGACATGTGATGTTTTTGCTGGAGCACATGCTTGAGAGGACATGTGACATTTGGAAACAGTATAACACAACAGACTGTGGATCATGCTCTGGCATTGGTTTGCCTGCTGGTCTTCATTGGGATTCACTGATACTAGTCTTCACTTATCTTAATACAAAGATGTGCACCAAAGAACTTTGGATGGTGTTCCAGCTGTTTATAGATGCTTTGACAATCGATCATCAGAGCCTCATGGATTCTTCTGTATTGACCTGCTGCTGTCGATTCTTGTTTGGTGTTTTACTAGAGGACTGGACTACAGACTATAAACATTGGAATTGCCCAAGGAACTAAATCTAAGCAGGTCCACATCTCCCTTGTCATATTATCATTTTTGACATGGAACTCACAAAGAGTCAATAAAAAATTAAATAATAAAATAAATATAAGAACCCCAACAAAAACCCAAAAACAACCACCATAACCAAGAAACAAACAAACAAACAAACAAAAACAGTTTAATCTAAAAATTCCTAGGCACTAAACATCCAGGTAATCCAGAATTCCACAGAAAAACCTAGTCTATGGATAAATTGTATTAGAAGTGAGAAAAACACAGATCAAACGTAGAGAAAATATTTTCAATAAAATCATAGAAAAAAATTCCCAAATATAAAGAAGGAGGTGTCTCTCAAGATACAAGAAGCACATGGAACACATTGATTTTTTTGACAGGGCCAGAGAAGAAACTCCTCATGACAAACACAGTAAAGTACAAGAAGCAAGAAAGAACATTACAGAATATTAAAAGGAATAAATATTTCTGATCACCAAATCAAAGTAGGGGGAAAATGTCCACACTATCACAACAAAATTAAAGGAACCAACAAACACTCACCATTGATAATGCAACATCTATGATATCAATTCCACAATAAGACACAGAAAATAGATTGGGGTTGAAAATTGTATCCATCTTTCTGTTGCATCTAAAAATAGACCTTTATACCTTCAAACCTTCACATCAAGGATAGGCATTGCCTTAGGTAAAAGAAGGAAAAAGGATATTCCAAGCAAATAGACCCAAGAAGACAGCTGGTACAGCCATTCTAATGTCTGAGAAAATAGACTTTAGACTCAAACTAATCTCTTTGATTAGCTTTTTATCACTATCATAACATGACAATAATCTTAGAGACACAAATATGTACAAAAGAGTCTTTTATAAGTATCTGGATATCTCGTTTATATAGTTCTTTTCTTCATTTCTGAAGTCCTTCATTCAGTTCTGAATCCTTAAGTATTATTTATGTTCGACCTGAAATATATTCTTCCTGTGTTTTTATTTAAAAAGGGATTTGGAGGTGGCTCTATGGATAAAGTGCTTCCCACATAAGTGTGAGGACCTGGTTTTCACTCCAAGATTCTACACAAAGTAAGAGCAGCAGCAACGTATGACTGTACTTGGAATGATGCTATGGTAGATGAGAGACAGATACAAGAGAATTCCTAGAAGACACTGGGTCAGGCCACCTTTTGTGAGAATTTTAATTCCTGCCTCAGATAAGGTTAAAGGCAACAGCCAAACCCAAGGTTGTCCTATGATACAACTCACAGGACATGGCATGGGAAGATGTCCTCATAACTGAATATGAACACATATAGACACCCCCCCCCAATTTAGAAAATAAATAAAACAATGACTTATTCTAGGAATTAATTATATTACTTCTTTTCATTAATTATATCATTTCTTTTCTTTATTTTTATTCCCTTTTAGAAAACATTATCATTGAGTGTGTATAATTTTGAATGATCAAGTTGCTCTTGAAATACATTATGCTCTTTACACAGTACATTTATTTTGCATTCCATCACATCACACCACAGAAAAAACTACAGGGAAAAGATTTAATAAAATAGACTTGCAGACTCCTTTAAGATATATATGATACTCTAGTAAATTTACTGCTGACACCAACTCCCTGTGAGTGAAACAAAAGCAGGTGATGTGGAGTAGCAATACACACTCTGCTGAGCTGATTTGCATATTGAGTCATTATATAACAGCCCAGGCTCCTTCAAAGACATCTGCCAGGAGTCTAAGAAGCATCCTCTCTTCCAGCTCTCAGAGATGAAACCAGACACACTCCTGCTATGGATGCTGCTCCTCTGGGTTCCAGGTGAGGATATAGAGAAGTGTTGGGACCAACCTCTATGGCCATCTTGATTGTGATGCCTCTAGGCTCTGATGATTAAAATTAGGGTATTTGTAATTGGTTTTAAGTTTCCCCATTTCCTTTGATTTTCTTATTTCTCAGAGTCATATCCCAATTATTCTTCCAAACTTCAAAAGAGAAGTTCCTCTGCTGGGAATGTTTTCATACATATATAACAATTGTCTGAGTGTTTGTCATTCCAGGTTCTGGTGGGGACATTGTGCTGACCCAGTCTCCAGCTTTGTTGGCCATGTCACTCGGTCAACAGGCCACCATTTCCTGCAAGGCCAGTCAGAGTGTGCATGACTTTACTTTTGGCATTAGTTTTATGCATTGGTACCAACAGAAACCAGGACAGCCACCCAAACCCCTCATCTACACTGCGTCCAACCTAGAATCTGGCGTTCCTGCCAGGTTCAGGGGCAGTGGGTCTGGGACAGACTTCACTCTCACCATCAATCCTGTGGAGGCTGATGATGCTGCAACCTATTACTGTCAGCATAGTAAGGAGCTTCCTCCCACAGTGCTCCAGGGCTGAACAAAAACCTCATGAGGTTACAGCTCACTGAGGCTCAGTCTCTCAGTTCTCTCTTACTCTCTGGCATCTAAAAACAGAGCTCTAAGCTTGTTTGGAAAAATATCTCAAATAATGAAACAAGCTTTTATAAACAGAAATGCATGTGTCATCTTTCCTATATGCTTTATGATTTAATCTTATGCCAACAAAATTTAGACCTTTATGATTGCTTCTTAATTATTGTCACTTAAATTTTCATTAACATATATTTATCTTCGATATTTCCACTTCTCCCCTATCTCCATGATCACATATCTACCTATTCCCTCTACCCTCAGTATCTATCCACCTTTGATTTCCTATCTCTTAGGATGTACTGTTACCTTTCAAAAAAGTTTTGACTTTAAAAAGGATAATGAATACAAACTACATTACTGAAAAACGTAACCAAGACATTTATTCTTCTCTCTCTCTCTCTCTCTCTCTCTCTCTCTCTCTCTCTCTCTCTCTGTGTGTGTGTGTGTGTGTGTGTGTGTGTGTGTGTGTGTTTGCGTGAGTGTGTGTGTGTGCAGACCAGAGGACAACTGAAGCAATCTGTTCTTTCTTTCCCCCATTTGACAGCTAGGAATCATATTCAGGTCAATAGTCTTTGTTGTATGTAGCTTCCTTGTTCAAGGACCAATCTTGCTACCATCATGTAGTATTTCTTATTTTTCCAGATATATTTTATTTTAAGTTGTGTTTGGGACTATAAGTATGTGCATGAATGAGTGCCCATAACACTCACAATTGGGAATTAGATCCCACGGAACTGGAGTTCCAGGAGAATGTGAACTAGTTGATGTCAATGCTGGGAAGCAACCAAGGGTTCTCTATAACATCAGAAATCAGTATATCTCCTTATCTACCACTTTTCAATTATGTACTTTTACAAATTGAATAACCACTTTGCCCTATCATTATAGTAGATTTAATGGAAGCATTGCTATCCACCATTTAAAATAAAATGTGGTTTGAATAGTTAAGATCATCAGTCATATTCTGTCATATACAGGCTTATAATCTACCTCATTGTTGAAAGTGCAGCCTTAATTGCTGTCGATGGCCCAGGATTGCAAACAAGTTGTGGCTTATCATGATGTAAAAAGCCTATAAGGTTATTGATGAAGCTTAGGTGCATCAGAAGATGTCTGCATATTGGTGATGAGAGTACCATGGGATGATCACTAGGAATCACAACAGCAGTTGGGTGAAGCCAAGTTGATCCTTGAGAGTTACAGAGCACATAGCTGGAGAAGTGGCCCAAGTCCTTTGGAGGAGCCCAGAATAACATATTTGGACCCCAGAGGCTGGAACAAGAAGCTGTTCAGTTGAAGTTGCCTTGATGATGAAAGACCCCAAGATGTTAGAGATGAAAGAACTGTGGAATAACTGCTGAAGAAAATTGGTAACAGGGACCAGCCATATTCTTCAACCAAATATCACAAGAACTATCTCTAGGAAACATTCTAAATTTCTTAGTTTCTGAAACCCTTTGAGACAAGCCCTCACAGTTTAAACCACACTCATCATCGCTGTCTTCCATGGTTCTACTAGTATATGTAACTAAGCCACACCATTCCATTGGTTTCCAAATTACCAAAATCCACATTCCTCCAAAAAAACCATTGTCAGGCCTATAAAAATAATACTCCATTCCTACTACCAATTTGTGTCTTAGTTGGGGTTTCCATTGCTGCAGTAGAAACCATGACAAAGGCAATTCTCATAAAGGAGAATATTTATTTGTGATTGTGTTATACTTTTAGAGTTTTAGTCCATTATCATCATGGTAGGAAGCCTAGCAGTAACCAGGAGGACAAGGTGGTGGCGGATCAGAGACATCTAGCTCTTGATCTGACAGAAGCCAGGAAAAGACTGTTTTCCACGTGCAGTTATGAGGAAGCTCTTGAAGTCCAGTCCTACAGTGATACACTTCATTCAAGGTCTTATGTATTCTGGCAAGGCCACACCTCCAAATAGTGCCACTTTCTATGGGCCAAACACATTTAAACCACCACAGAAAACATACAAAAGTTTGGCCTGAGCATTTGTAAATATGTTTAAGTCTCAGAGTCTTTATTTTTGGAGCTTGAAGCCAAGAGGTAAAACATAAAGCATATAGTCAACACCTCACTGCAGCCAGTATTAGAGAGTCCTACAACATTAGAGACTCCAGTAACTAGGGACCGTCTATTCAAATATAAGAACCTACAGGGGCTGTTTGTGTTACATGTCTTTCTGATTTATCTTTCTCTTCATGTAATAGTAGGTTTTAAGGACTCTTGTGATTAGGTGAGATTGATTTAGATACCCTCTGTCATCTTTTGAGGTCACCTTCTTTCATTATAATTGGAGAATCTTTAAAAGAAAGATCCAATTTGAGGTTTTGCTAAATGATGTTGGGACAGTGTGACTCCAGGGTAAAAAAATCTTTGGATCAGAAAACTGAATGTTCTTTATACACAACATTATTGTAAATTAGCAAATGGTGATTGTGTTCCAGTTGTATATGGTGAGTTTAATTATGATTGCTTCATGAGTATTGATTACTTTCTGGAAAATGATTATACTACACAGGCGAATGACCCATTCTAATTCCAGACACTCATTAGCTACTCACAGACCTTCCAGCAAAGTTAGGACACATGCCTGGTGAAGAGTCATATCTTGTGCAAGTAAATGTAGCTGCAGATTTCTCATAGGTGCAATGGCCATGTTATGTCCAGAAGACCCTATTTCACAGCACTCTCCACAACATCTGTATCTTATGTTTTTTCTCTCTCTTCTTCCATGATGACTTCTAACATATGGGGACGTAGACATCTTCTTTAGGGAAGACTACTCCATAGTCAAATATTCGCTGCACTGTGACCAATTGTATGTCTTTGCCTTAAACACTATTTACAGCAGAGAGAAGCTTGTAGGATGAGTACTAAGAATAGTATCATTTGATGAGTTTAAACACAAGGCTTTAGAAAGCAGTTTGATGCCATGCTCATTTAGAAAAGAAAACAAATGAACAGACAGTCAAAATGATAGGTTCTCCCTTCTGGGTTAAAAACATAAGAAGTATAGACTCAGGAACTGGTTTTCAGTTCTGTACATTACAATTAATATCATTGTATTTATTTCCAATATGAATGAGGAAAACATGCTAAAAGTTCATCTGGGGCAGAAATGACAGTTGTACATTCCTTTGCGTGTCAACACAACATTGACTAAAATATATTCTCTAAACTCATGAGCTCATTGTGACCACTGTCCCACCAGCTCTCATTGCATGGCTCATTTATCTCACACTGAGAGACTTGTCAAATCAGTCTCAGTCCTATGTTGGCCTCTATACAATGGCTATTTTATCATCTTCCACAACAATGAGCATTTGAAGTCCCTGTGCATGTCAGACCTTCTATCATTCACAATTACAGGGTATTTGTAGAGGGCTCCTCTCTGATTTATGTATGGTCAAATTACTTTTCTCAGGCAGGCTGTCCATAGATGCTTTTAAAAAGAAGCATTCCTATCCCATTATTATTGTTGCATCACCAACCAGCCGAGTTATTTTTCATCTTCTTTTCTATCACTTGGTATTTTTGTCTGATTGACAGAGCTATCTACTTTCTCATGTGGCCAAGGAGTTTCGAATTCATTGAAGAAGGGAAAGAATCAATGTTAAGTAGGTGGAAATTAAGCTATTAACTCCATTTAAATTGTAGCATATGTTCATGTTAATGGAATTCTATGCACGGGGAGACAGAAGTGTGTGTACATACATAGATTTGAGATGGTGACTAGCTGTACTCTTGTGTAGCATAAACTACTTATCATCAGTTGTTTGCAAACTCTTGTTGCTTTTGCAACAGCCTCTCAAATGCTCATACTGTAGGCAGGGCTCACCAATCAGGTCAGAGGTATGGTTATTAAAACCACAATATATGACAAAATGAGAAAAATAATAATATTGGAAGAAATAACTTAGGATAAAGGATAGTAAAGTCATCTGAAACAGTTCTCACCACATGTCTTACTATTACCAGCCATCCTGCCAATAAAATGTCATTAGATTGGAAGTGATTATTACTTACATATGTATATATACATATATATGTAGTGAAATTCGAGGTATACTTTTGATGTGTATGCAAACTAAAATATACTCCAGCAGAGGGGCTTGGAACTAATATTAATTCTACTGATTTCCTATAGGAGGAGCTATGTACTGTAGATTTATGTAGGGGGTTCAGGCGAATGGAGAAGAGTGGAGGGGTTGTTGGACTGGAATGCCTCCCTGGTCATGTCTACAACACAGAGGTTCACCACCAGCTACAAGATCAGTGGTATATACACATAGCTCTCACTATGTGTAGCTATTAAGCCAGATGCTAACAAAAGCAGAGTAGGTTATTCATTTGTTCATCTCAGAACCTAACAGAAATCTTGATCCTTCCAGTGACAGTGGATCTAGAACCAAGTTAATCTTTCCACTATATGTATTCAGACTAATGATGTGACAATTTAATTCTGTGAAAACTATTTGTAGTCTTCTCCTGTGACTCAGCCTTAAATACATACAACTTTTAGAGTTTAGCCTGTCAGCCAGTGTCTGAATCAGCAGCTTTTCTCTCTCTACATAGTCTGCTACTCAAATACTCTCTTCTTTGTCCAAAAGTCAATGAACTTTGCCTTAGTCAAGGAGACTTGAGAACCCAGGAGAGCTTTTATTGTATAATATGTGCTTTAATCATTGAGTCAGGTTTAAAAAATTATTTTCCACTGCTTTGCCAATTTTTAAAGAATGACTTTAAAGGTGATTTGACATTCAGTATTCTCATTTTTATGTCTGTGTTCATTTGCAGAACAAGTAGTTTTGAAACAATTTAAGAATGTCCAATTCATATTAGTCATTTATCTTCTTCAAATGGACAACTTTCAAATTCCCATAATGACATAATTTTTCTTTTTTAAATTTTTCTTTTAAATTTTATTTATTTAATGTATGAGTGCTGTGCTGCATACACATCTGTCTGCCTGAAGAGAGTTTCAGATCCCCTTATAGATGGTTGTGATCCACCATGTGGTTGCTGGAAATTGAACTCAGGACCTCTGGAAGAGCACTCAGTGCTCTTAACCACTGACCCATCTCACCAGCCCTCTTTATTGATTTTTAAAAATTAACTATATTCAAGTTACCAACCATTTGTCAGTTTGGGGTGTAATATTGTCATAAAGGAAGGCTCCCCAATGTTAGCGGCCATATCAAGGGTGGCCTTGGTTTAGGAAAAAGCCAATTTTTGTTGTGGTGATCAAGAGGCCAAGCTCTCTAGCGAGAGAAACGAGGGCAGAGCCAGGTATACCAGGAACCCTTCTGGAGGGCGTGGAAGTCTAGGGGTCGACCGTAGGGGGAGGCAGGGGAGCTGGCAGCTGTGTCAGTCTCCTGCAGAGTCACTTCTGGATCCTCTTCAATTTTCAGCTGATGGTAATGAACTTCAACCGTCTTCTTGATGGCAGCATCAACCTGGTTCCGTGGACGACAGGTCGCGGGGGACGATCTCTGTCTCACTCAATCTTGATATCCTGCGCACATCCTCTCAATGAGGGTCCGTCCAGAGGGGTCCGTGCCTCAAGCCCCACGTCTGGGTGCCACTTGACCCGACCGGCGGGTCCTAGTTATTCATGGGGGCAAGGAGGACTGCAACCTGCTATTCTTCAGAAGATATGGTACACTGCTTGAGTTATGGTCTCCCTGCTGTTCTTCAGATGTTATGGTACACTGCTTTGAGTCTATCTGCAGTTGCCAAGCAGGATCTTGTAGTTGCCAAGCTTCAGGGGAGATTGTGCAGGTGGGAAAAGGTAGGGGGTGAGGGTAAGGGCGAGGATCCTGGCTTCTGGCCCATCTGGATTAGAACTTCTAACAGCAGGCATCACGGGTGATTCATTTTTACCTGGAAAGAAAACAGAAGGGGATTCTCAGGGAGATTTCTCTTCCCTGGATGTAAATTGTTATTCATCTTGTTTTTGGTTGGGCCTGGCTTTGTGAGGGTATCTATTTTTTTCATTAATATTTGTGGTATCCGGTTTGTGTCTGATTTGTTTTGTAAAAGAATAAGTACTTAGAGTAATCATGATGAGTTATGTTTTATAAAAGTACACTTGAGTTATGCAGGAACTTGTACATCAAATGTTTAGTTGACACTTAATAAGTAACCAATGAAACTGAAGCACATTCATCTTTTTATTTTTTATTTTTTATTTTTTTTATTTTAATTGGATATTTTATTTACATTTCATATGTTGTCCCCTTACCCCATCCCCCACCCACCCGGGAGCCCCCCATCCCCTTACCCCTCCTCATTCTTCTCCGTGGATGTAACCCCCACCTACCCTCCCCACTCCCACTTCCCCACCCTCAAAATTCCCACCCCCTGGGGCTCAAGCCTTCATGAGGTCAAGGATCTCATCTTCCACCTGTGCCCGGCAGGGCCCTCCACTCTTACATATTCAGCTGAAGCCCTGGATCTCTCCATAAGTGCTCCCAGGCTGGTGGTTAGGACCCTGGGAGCTGTGGTTGGTTGGTATTGTTGCTCTTCTCATGGTGCCACAAACCCTTTCAGCTCCTTCAGTCCTCACTCTAACTCCTCCATTGAGAACCTCATGATCAGTTCAATGGCTAGTTGTGAGCATCTGCCTCTGAATATGTCAGACTCTTGAAGGCCTCTGAGGAGACATCCATATCAGGCCCTTATCAGCATGCACTTCCTGACTTCCACATCAGCATCTACCTTTGGTGACTGCACATGAGATGGATACTCAGGTGGAAAGGTCTTCAAATGGCCCCTCCTTCAGTTTCTGTCCCTCACTTTGTCTCCATATTTGCTCCCTTGAGTATTTTGTTGCTCCTTCTAAGAAGGACCGAATCACCCCCACTTGGTCTTCCTTCTTTATGGGCTTCATGTGGCCTGTGAGTTGCATCTTGGGCATTTCAAGGTTCTGGGCTAATATCCGATAATCAGTGAGTGAATACCATGTGTGTTCTTTTGTGATTGGCTTACTTCACTCAGGATGATAATTTCTAGTTCCATCCATTTACCTAGGAACCTCTCGAATTCATTGTTTTTAATAGCTGAGTAATACTCCATTGTGTAAATATACCACATTTTTTGAATCCATTCCTCAGTTGAAGGACATCTGGGTTCTTTCCAGCTCCTGGCTATTATAAATAAGGCTGCTATGAACATAGTTGAGCATATGTCCTTGTTATATGTTCGAGCATCTTCTGGGTATATGCCTAGGAGTGGTATAGCTGGATCCTCAGGTAATGCTATGTCCAATTTTCTGAGGAACCGCCAGATTGATTTCCAAAGTGGTTGCACCATCTTGCAGTCCCACCAACAATGGAGGAGTGTTCCTCTTTCTCCACACCCAATAAATAAGTAACCAATGAAACTGAAGCACATTCATCTTTTTAAATCCCAAAGTTTCCATGTAATTAGGATATGGGTAGAAAACACAAAGCCAGCAGCAGAGCCTCAAAGGCCACTTACCTACCAACCCTGTTCCTTATTTCTTGTCCTTTCCAAAAATAAAAAATAAAAAATAAAAACAAAAAAACCGTAGTGTTTGGTTTCATAAAAGGATTTCCCTTTAATATTATTATATATAAACCGTATTTATATCCTGTCATGATTAGTTTTTAATGTCAAATTTGCACAAGGTAGAGTCATTTGAATGGGGAAAACCTCAATTAAAAAATGCCTCCATAAGGCTAGGCTGTGGGCATGCTTGTAGGGCATTTTCTTATTTACTGATTGATGGGGTAAGGTCCAGTCTATTGTGGGTAGGGGCAGCCACACTCAGTCATGGACTTGAGTTCTATAGCAAATAGAACTGAGAACACTACAAAGGGAAAGCAAGTAAGCAGAAATCCTCATGGCTTCTGGTCAGCTCCTGCCTTTCGCTTTCTGCCGTGTTTGAGTTCTTGCTCTAATTGTCCTCAGTTATGGACTGTTACATGGACAGTTACACATGGATGAGTAATGATAATTAATTGTTCTGTCCTTTAAATTGATTGTGGTCATGACATTTCATCACAACAATAGTAATCCTAATAGGACACATGCCTTACCTTCTCTTTCTCTGTGTTCCATGGTTTGTTTCCCCACAAGTTTTCTTCCCTCTCCTAGTTTCCCTGCTACATACTCACCACAATTGTGATTATATTTATATAATTGAGTTTAAAAGCATAAGATTAATAAATGAAAGGGTATGAGTAATTGTTTCTAAGCCATTGGTCTACCCCTGCCTCTTCCCCATGGATCACATATCACTCTGAGCTCTCCCTATATACTTTCAAATAGGGCGACCCAGAAACCTCACTCCATGCTAAAGAATTATGATAGATTCTAGCTTTCAGGCTTCCATCTCATATTCATGGCTAAATTTAATATTTACAAATGGAGAATCTAAAATCCTATATAAACAAAATGATAATTAATGCTTTATATGTATTCATTAAAACAAAATTGATCAACTGGTTTGGAGTCCAAAGATACAGTCCAGCCTGATGGTATTATAGAATACATACAATTGATTATGTTTTGTGTGTATCTTCTTACAGGTATAATATCAACTGATGGATTATCCCTTTCTTTTATTTACTTTTCTACTTTTGTGGTAAGTACCATGAACTTATAAATAAAAAGTTCTGCTAGCCTTTCTGAGGGTTAGACTTTGTGAAAGCAGAAAGAAGTCATCAGGCAGAAGACTTATTAGTTGGAGCAAAAGCTCAGGGCTCACATCTCAAACTGTATGTATGTATGTATGTATGTATGTATGTATGTATGTATTATGTATGTATTAGGTATGTACATATGTCTGTATGTAAGTATGTATACATTGAGTGTGCTTAACTGAAATTACAAATGGCTAAGTATCATATAAAGGCTTGGAGTGAGTAAACCTGAGTGTTTGAAAAGAGGAACAAATGATCTTAACCACTATTGAGCAGATTCTTTGCCCCCAAACCTTCCTTCCTTCCTTCCTTCCTTCCTTCCTTCCTTCCTTCCTTCCTCCCTCCCTCCCTCCTTTCCTTCCTTCCTTCCTTCCTTCCTTCCTTCCTTCCTTCCTTCCTTCCTTTCTTCCTTCCTTCCTTCCTATTTTTTAAATAGTACTCCATTTTATATCTTCCATTTATTTTCTCCTCTCTACATTTCCCTTCCCTCTCCAATCCCAAATTTCCTCTCATCTTTTCTATCTTCTACCTACTTTTATTCCTCTTGCCTTCCTCTCCCCTTCTTTCTTTCCTTTCTTATTTTCCACTTCCTCTGTTTCTGCTATATATTTCTTTGAGTTTAAGGGAAGCCTGTTATGAGAGAATCTAAAGCTCTAACTTTTCCCCCAGTGATTGCTTACTGTCTTTGATGATATTTTTAGCTGTTGATTTAGCCAGGATACTCTCACAATCATTTGTTCAGATAGTTGCTTCTTTATTTGATGACTACTTTGCATAGGTCTCTAGAGTCCAGCACAGCTCTTCATGATTTATAAACCAGGCCTTTTTGGTGAGATCTTAAATGCATCAGATCAGCATGGGCATCAAGATGGAATCACAGACTCAGGTCTTCATATTTGTACTGCTATGGTTGTATGGTAAGATATTTAAAAAATATTATAATATCTTAAAAGTAATTCATTTGTAGAGAAATAGCTATTTCCTACAGGAAGCCAATAGTATACAGTCAATGCAGTTAGAAAAGTCATTTTGGATTCCAAGTATTGTATCAGGAATTCTTTGTGTGTATATATGTGTATTCTTTATCTATTTCTGATTGCAGGTGCTGATGGGAACATTGTGATGACCCGGTCTCCCAAATCAATGTCCATATCAGTAGAAAATAGGGTCACCATGAGCTGCAAGGCCAATGAGAATGTACAAAGTTATGTAGCCTGGTTTCAACAGAAACCAGGACTATCTTATAAACTGCTGATGTGCAAGGCATCCAACTGCTACACTGGGGTTCCTGACTGCTTCACAGGCAGTGGATCTGAGACAGATTTCACTCTCACCATCAGCAGTATGTGTGGTGAAGACATAGCCATTTGTTACTGTCAGAATGATTATGACTATCCTGTGCTTCAACCTCCTACACAAACTTTCTTGAGATTCTCACCAGCTGCCTGCACCACACAGCCCTAGACAGGCATAATTATCCTTCTGCCAGAGAGCTGCTATGCTTGACTAACTTGATGCAATGCATGGTTGTAAATTTATGAACAGATAACCATTTTGACCCTTTAAATGTGGAAATAATTATTTAAAATTGGCCTCTGGCTCAGGCCGACTATCTAATCTGCAGTGGCTCTGCCTAGCCCAGCCAGCATGTTTCTCAGATGGAGGCCATATGCATGCTGCATCTAGAAATGGCCAACTAGAAACACCAGACCTGCCACCCATGAGATGTCAGCATGGGAGATGGCTCAATCTCACACGCTGTCTCTACAAGGCTGGGTATTGCCCAGACCATCCCGCCATCCATGCTGGCTCAGTAGAAAGATGAGACTCTAATGCTTAAAGACTAATCAAAGGCTTATATATTTGATAATGATCTGTAACAAGATATCTATACAATCAGAAGTATAACCCAATACCCAACCTAGATATACCAACTACCTTTGACTGCTACAGACATGGGAACATCCACCTCCATCTTCTCTCTCTCATTCTCCTCTCCTGTCTCCTAGCTCCTCCTCTTCATTTTCCTCCCCTCCTCCTTTTTCCTCCTCTTTTTCTCCTAATTCCTCCCACCTTAGCTCTCCTTACATTTTAATTGGAATGTCTTTATGGCAACCAGAAAAAAAGATATTTGTGTTTGTTTTTAATTTCTTATGCTTAAATTCTACATATTGGGCATGATAAATTTATCATTTTATATTTTGGACTGCAAAATTCCAACATGAATTCCATGGGCTAAATCAAGTGCCTGGCAACCTATTTCCTACTGGAGGATACAAAAGTGAACTTGGCTTCTGCTTTTCTCAGCTGTGAGAAGCCTTTCTAACTCTTGAACTGTGACAATTTCCCTCCAGTTCTTTTGGGAGAAATTTATTTATTTGCATTTGTATGTTAATTTCCATGAAATAATATAAAAATTATATTATACGTGTTGACAATCTTCATCCCCCTTGTTTGTACGTTCTGACATACCCTTTCCCTCCAACTAATGTCCTTCCCCTAGTCTCTCCCCTAAGTTCATGTGACATACACAAGTGCCCACTCACATTCATACACATGTGCCCATCACAGTCATACACCCATATACATGCATACACAGAGAGTTTTAGGAGTTTATAAAAATGTAGGTTACAAATATCAGAGAAAATATGATGTTTAATATTTTAATCAATATATCTGATCTATGCTTCCTAATCCCATTTCACCTGCCTCTGCTGTCTTCTCATCTACTTTTCAAATGTGGAGACTGTAATGCCTCATTCTGTACTACACTAATGGTAAGCATAATTTGGTATCATGAGAATTAAGTTTGCTTTTCTGTCTCATAATCATTGAAGTGGCTTTGAGTTTCTATCTGTTCCTAGAGCTGGGCCATGGTGCCCAGAGCTAATCCTGTGCCACAGAACTCCATTCCCAAATATTGCTGGAAGAGATCTGGTCACCCAAGAGTGCTACCATCCCTGTGATCACAGGTAACACCACCACTTCAGCTCAAATCCCTAGCCTAAGAGGGACCAGCCCAGAATCATGAGGACACAGGAACCAAGACACTGCCAAGGACATGATCTTTCAGGTTAACATCTGTACCTAGGAGATGACCCTGTGTCACAGCTCTCCATACCTAAATTCTTTCCAGAGAGAACTGGACTCCCAGGAGTACTGACACACAGGCTTGCAGGAGGTACAAGCCACAGTTAGAGACAGAAAGACAAGCTAACACCAGAGATATCCATATGGTGAGAGACAAAGGCAAGAACATAAGCAACAGAAACCAAGGCTAATTGACATCATCAGAACCCAGTTATTCCACCACAAGCCCTGGATACCCCAACACACCAGAAAAGCAAGAATCTAATATAAAGTCACATCTTATGATGATGATAGAGGACTTTAAGAAGGACATAAATAACTTTTTAAAAGAAATAAAAGAGAGCACAGGTAAATAGGTAGAGGTCCTTAAAGAGGAAACACAAATATTCCTTAAAGAATTACAGGAAAACACAACCGAACAGGTGAAAGAACCAGACTGAATCAGCCATGATCTAAAAATGGAAATAGAATCAATAAACAAATCACAAAGGGAGACAATTCTCGAGATAGAAAACCTAGGAAAGATATCAAGGGTCATAGATGCAAGCATAATAGAAAGAATAAATGAGATAGAAGAGAGAAACTCAGGTGCAGGAAATACCATAGAAAACATTGACAGAACAGTCCAAGAAAATGCAAAATGCAAAAAGCTGATAACCCAAAACATCCAAGAAATCCCGGACACAATAAGAAAACCAAACCTAGGAATAATAGGTATAGAAGAGAGCAAAGATTCCCACCTTAAGGGGCCAGTAAAAATCTTCAACAAAATTATAAAAGAGAACTTCCCTAACCTAAAGAAAGAGCTGCTCATTAATATACAAGAAGCCTACAGAACTCCAAATAGACTGGATCAGAAAAGAAACTCCTCCTATTGCATAATAATGACACCAAATACATAGAAAAAAAAAGAACACTAAAAGCAGTAAGGAAAAAAGGCCAAGTAACATATAATGGCAGACCTATCAGAATTACACCAGACTTTTTACCAGAGTCTATAAAAGACAGGAGAACCTGAACAGATGTCATACAGTCCCTAAGAGAACACAAATGCCAGACCAGACTACTATACTCAGCAAAACTCTGAGAAACCAAGATATTCTATGACAAAACCAAATTTACCCAATATCTTTCCACAAATCCAGGTCTATAAGGAATCATAGTTGGAAACCTTCAACACAAAGAGAAATTATACCCTAGAAAAAGCAAGAAAGTAATCTTCTTCCAACAAACCCAAAAGACGATAGCCAATCAAACATAACTCCATCCATCTCTAATAACAACAATAACAGGAAGCAACAATCACTATTCCTTAATATCTTTTAATATCAATGGACTCAATTCCCCAATAAAAAGACATACAGTAACAAACTAGATAGTAAACAAGACACAGCATTTAGCTGCATACAGGAAACTAATTTAGTGTGAAAGACAGACACTACTTCAGAGTAAATTGCTGAAAAACAATTTTACAAGTAAAGGATCCCAAGAAACAATATGGAATAGCCATTTTAATATCAAATAAAATGGACTTTCAACCAAAAGTTATCAAAAATATTAAGGACAGTCACTTCACACTCATCCAAAGAAAAATCTACGAAGAAGAATTCTCAATTCTGAACATCTATGCTAATGCAAGGGCATCCACATTCATAAAAGAAACCTTACTAAAGCTCAAAGGACACATTGCACCTCACACAACAATAGTAGGAGACTTCAACACCCTACTCTCATCAATGAACAAAGCATGGAAACAGAAACTAAACAGAGACACAATTTAACTAACAGAAGGCCAAATGATGTTAAGAGATATCTATAGAACATTTAATTGTAAAATAAAAGAATATACCTTCTTCTCAACACATCGTGGTACCTTCTCTAAAATTGACCATACAATTGGTCACCAAACAGGCCTCCACAAATCCAAGAAGTTTGAAATAATCCTATGCATCCTATCAGATCACCACAGACTAAGGCTGGTCTTCAATAACAATAAAATCAACAGAAAGCCTACATACACATGGAAGCTGAACAACACCCTACTCAATGATAGCTTGGTCAGGGAAGAAATAAAAAAAGAAATTACAGACTTTTTAGAATTTAATGAAAATGAAGGCGCAGCATAACCAAACATATGGGACACAATGACAGCAGTACTAAGAGAAAAACCCATAGCTCAGAGTGCCTCCAACAAGAAACTGAAGAAGACATACAGTAGCAGCGTAACAGCACACCTGAAATCTCTTGAACAAAAAGACTAAAATACACCCAAGAAGAGTAGAAGGCAAGAAATAATTGAATTCAGGGCTGAAATCAACCAAGTAGAAGCAAAAAGAACTATACAAATAATCAACAAATCCAGGAGCTGTTTCTTTGAGAGAACCTTTCCCTTCCTTCCTTCCTTCCTTCCTTCCTTCCTTCCTTCCTTCCTTCCTTCCTTCTTTCTTTCTTTCTTTCCTTCCTTCTTTCTTTTTTGTTCTTTCTTTTCTTTTATCAAATATAGTCTAACAGTTGTCAAACTGAAAAAGGAAGCTTCAGTTGAGAAAATGTCTCCATTAGATTGTCTAGTAGGCTAAAGATCATTTATCATCTTCTTGACTGATGATTTACTATTGCAAGTGCCATCCCTGAACAGATGGAATTAGAAATTAGTCTGCACAAGATAGTAATTCTATTCCTTCATGACTTCTTCTTCAGTGCCTGTCTCAAAGTTCATGTTGAATTTCCTGTCCTCATAATGTACTGCAAGATGTAAGATGAAATAAAATCTTTCCTCTACCCCCAAAGCAGAAATTAGGGACAAAAGGAAAATCTGTTAGATGACAGAAATATAAACTTGATTGTAGTTGATTATTGCTCAACTGTATAACTATATTTAAACTCATAAAAAAAGAATAGTAAAATGAATACATTCTATTGTTTAAAATTACATCTCAAGAATATAGAAAGAAACTTTCTGGAAAAAAATAATTGAATTGTTTGAGATTTGTCGAGGGAAATTATCCTGACCCATAGGTAAGTCAATGGGGTCTGCAAGGGAAAGTGTGGGAATGGAGGGGATAGAGATGTTAAGAATGGAAACAGGACAGTTGTCTGATCAAGTCTCATTTATTGAAAGGGTGTAAAGGGTATAAAATTTATTATGGGTATAAAGGTACAACCAGGGGAGTGCAGCTGGAGACACTTAACCATGAGTGCCTTGCAGCTGGGGCACTAAACAGCAAGTTCTGGATATGTCTGAGAAAAACAAGATGTTATCAGCTGAGATGAGCTCAGCTGTTGTGGACTGCTTGCGAAAATATCATGCTAGGCAAACAAGTCTCATGTCAGGGTGGAAAAGTATCAACCTGCACATTTATGGCTCAAGATGGCTG